ACTAGGGGAAGGGATCAAACAAAGGGGGAGTTAGGCACATGTGTAGTGAAGTCAGGGTGATGTAGGGAAGGTACTTTCCTGTCAGTCTAGCCTGAGAAACAATGGATTGGTTAGGAGGTGACCCCCTTAAGAAGTGTGTGAGCCCAGCCAGTGTGGCTCAGGAGTTGAGCATCGACCTAGGAACCAAGAGGTCACCGGTTCAATTCCTGGTCAGGGCTCAATCCTCAGTAGTGGGATGTGCAGGAGGCAGCCGATCAATTATGTTCCCTCTCATCAATGTTTCTATCTCTCCACCCCCCTCCCTCTTCTTTCTCTAAAGAAATCAATAAAAATCTATGAAAAAAAGTTGTGAAATCTTGGAAGGTTAAAATCCCCAGACAAAGAGTTCCCTCCCCCTCCCGTTGTTCCCTCTCACTCTCTTGCTCTGTGACCACTCTCTCCCATGTGCTTGCCTGTTCTCTCTCTATAGCCATGTGGCCTTAAGCAGCCATATGGACCATGGCCGTGCAGACCCCACATGCAATGCCCTGCATCTGGGAATACAAGTTAAGTTGGCCAGATGCTGGACTAGACTGGACTTTAATATGAAACAGATCAAAGGACTAGACTGGACTTTAATATGGAACAAATCAAAACAACAATGAGGTACAAATCAACAAATCAACAAACAACAAGTGCTGGCGAGGATGCAGAGAAAAAGGAACCCTCGTGCACTGCTGGTGGGAATGCAGACTGGTGCAGCCACTGTGGAGAACAGCATGGAGATTCCTCAAAAAATTAATAATGGAACTTCCATTTGACCCAGTAATCCCACTTCTGGGAATATATCCCAAGAAACCAGAAATACCAGTCAGAAAGGACATATGCACCCCTATGTTCATAGCAGCACAATTTATAATACCTAAGATTTGGAAACAGCCTAAGTGCCCATCAGCAGATGAGAGGATTAAAAAGCTGTGGTACATCTCCATAATGGAATACTACGCTGCTATAAAAAGGAAGGAACTTTTACCATTTGCAACAGCATGGATGGACCTGGACAGCATTATGCTAAGCGAAATAAGCCAGTCAGAGAAAGGTAAATATCACATAATCTCTCTCATATGTGGGATATAATGAACAACATATACTGATGAACAAAAATAGATCCAGAGACAAAGAAACACTGAACAGACTGTCCAACCTCAGAGAGAAGGCAAGGGAAGTGGGGAGTGGGGTAAGAGACAACCAAAGGACTTGTATGCATGCATATGACCAACAGACAGGGACACTGGGGCGGTGGGGGCTTGTCTTTGGGGACAGGAGTGGCCCAGGGGGAGGGTCAATCAGGGAAAAAGTAGACATATGTAATACTTTAAACAATAAAAAAAAAATATGGAACAGAAATTCTGGGCAGTGGCCTTCATTCTGGCCCTGTTAAAGACAAGATTGGACTTCTGCCATGGTGAAATGGACGGAACTTAGAGGGAACCCCCTTAATTTTACATCATTAATAAAGCTTTTCAAGAAACCCCATCCTCTCATGGGGACCTCAGGAAATTCTTTTCTTCCTGGTACCCCAAGAACTCCACTTCCACTGATAACACTGGGACTCTCTTCACTGTCATCCTGAAGTTGTCTTTTGCTTTTTTCCTAAATTGGATCTCCTGTTTCCAGTAACCTATGTCTTTCCCTTGCTTGCTTTCCTCCAGTGAATTCCTAAGGAAAACTATATGAGAAGTAAATTAAGTTCTTTCATGTCTGAAATGTATTCTTTTCTTTTTTTAAACATCCTGTGTACATATTATAATATTTTAATTTGAGTTTCTCATTTTAATTACAAATACCTTAAACAAATTCATCTATTTTACAAGTTTAAAAGAGACGGAAAGAAAAAAAAAAAAAAAGAAAGTCACATTCCAAATTCTGGCTAATTGAACATTTCTGCTTCTCAGGAGGGAGCGATTCTGAACTGTCATCACAGTACTGCCGGAGAAGCCAAATGCCAGCTTGGACTAAAACCAACATTTCACACACTCAGATCACCAGCCCCACACAGCCTTTACAACCAAAGGAAAGGGATTCCTTAGGCATGTTTATTTTATTTCAATTACAGTTGACATTCAATATTATTTTATATTAGTTTCAGGTGTTCAGCATAGTGGTTAGATAATTATATAATTTACAAAGTGATTCCCCCAATAAATCAAGTACCCATCTGGCGCCACACATCTATATAATAAAAACCCAGTGGTCGTAACACTGTAATGACCAAAGACCGGTCACCAAGAGACTGTGTTTGCAGCAGCGCAGTGAGGTACACGGGTGGGCAGGGACTTGACTCTGGGTCCCATGGCGCTCCAGGACTTGAGGGAGTCCCACAGCGCCAGTGGGACTCGGGGGTCCCGGGTCTCACGCAATTTCCCCGCGGGTCTGGGTCTCGCGCGATTTTATACGCTGGGTCACTAGTAGTAAATATAATAATATTGACTATATTCTCCATGCTTTACATCACCATGACTAATCTGTAACTATCAAATTGTATTTCTTAATTCCTTCACCTTCTTCACCCAGCCTTTTCCTGCAACCATAAGTTTATTCTCTGTATATATGAATATGTTTCTGCTTTGTTTTTTCATTTATTTTATTCTTTAGATTTCACATAAAAGTGAAATAATGAGATATTTGTCTTTCTCTGTCTGACTTATTTTACCTAGCATAAAACCCTCTAGTTCCATCCATGTTGTCGCAAATAAGATTTTATTCTTTTTCATGGCTGAGTAATATTTCATTATGTACATGTACCACCTCTTCTTTATCCACTCACCTACTGATGGGCACTTGGGCTGCTTCCATATCTTGGCTATTGTGAATAATGCTTCAATAAACATACAGGTGCATATATCTTTTTAGTTACTGTTTTTGGTTTCTTTGGATATATACCAAGAAGTGGAATTGCTGGGTCATAAGGCAGTTCCATTTTTAATGTTTTGAGGAAACTCCATACTGTATTTCATAGTTGCTGCACCAATCTGCCTTCTTACCTACAGTGCACAAGGGTTTCCTTTTCTTCACATTCTCTTTTCCAACATCTGTTGGTTTACTGATGATAGACATTCTGACAAATGTGAGGTGATATCTCATTGTGGTTATCATTTGCAAACTTTTGTTATTCAAGTCCTCTGCCCAGGTTTTAATTAGATTTTTGTGGGCTTTTTTTATGTTGAGTTGTATGAGCTCTTTATAAATTTTGGATATGAATCCCTTATCAGATATATCATTGGTGAATATGTTCTCCCATTAAGCAGATTGTCTTTTGGTTTTGTTGATGGTTTCCTTTGCTGTACAAAATCTTTTTAGTTTAATATAGATCCATTTGTTATGTTTTCTTTTGTTTCCTTTGCCTGAGAAGATATATCAGAAGAAAATATTGCTACAAGAGATGTCAGAGATTTTACTGCCTGTGTTTTTTTTTCCAGGAGTTTTATGGCTTCAAGTCTTACATTTAAATCTTTATTCCATTTTGAGTTTATTCTTGTATTTGGTGTAAGGAGGTGGTCTAGTTTCATTTTTTTGCATGTACCCGCCCAATTTTCCCAACACCCTTTATTGAATAGACTGTCTCTATCGTGTTGTATATTCTAGCATCTTTTGATGTAAGTTAATTGACCATACATGTTTATTTCTGGGCTCTAGCCTGTTTCATGGATCTATGTGTGTATTTTTATGCCAGTGCTATGCTGTTTTGATTACCTTGTATGATATTTTGATATCAGGTAGCATGATATCTCCAACTTTGTTCTTTTTTATCAAGATTGCTGTGGCTATTCAGGGTCTTTTGTGGTCCATATACATTTTTGGATTATTTGTTCTAGTTCTGTGAAAAACACCATTGGAATTTTGATAGGGATTGCGTTGAAGCTATAGATTGCCTTGGGTAGTATGGAAATTTTAATGATGTTAATTGTTCCTATCCATGAGAACAATATACATTTCCATTTATTTGTATCTTCTTCAATACCTTTCTTCAATGTCTTAAAATTTTTCTGAGTACAGGTATTTTACCTTTTTGTTTAAATGTATTCCTAGATATTTTATTTTGATTTGATGCAATTGCAAATAAGATTGTTTTCTTAGTTTCTCTTTCAGATAGTTCATTATTGGTGTATAAAAATGCAATTGATTTCTGAATATTTATTTTATTACCCTGCTACTTTACTGAATTCATTTATACGTTCTAGTAGTTTATTGATGGAATCTTTAAAGATCTCTCTATATAGATCCATGTCATCTGCAAATATTGACAGTTTTACTCTCCCCCCTCCCCTCCCAATTTGGATGGCTTTTATTTCTTCTGATCACTGTGACTAGAACTTCCAATACCATGTTGAATAAGAGTGATGAAAGTAGACATTCCTATTTTGTTCCTGATCTTAACACTTTTCAATTTGCCCATTGAGTATGTATAATGTTGGGTGTGGATTTGTTAAATATGGCCTTTATTATGAAGCCAGTCCATCCTTGCTGCTTGACACAGTCGCTGCAGGGAAGAAACATCTGCACAGCATATGTTTCAAGGGACCTGGCGTATATGGCATACTGTTCTTAATGTGTTTTAACCAAGGTCACCTCTCCGAGAAAGGTTGTTTCCCCAGGTGGGGATTTTTCCCAGGAGTTAGGGATTAACAGGACTAAGGAAGGGAATAAATCAGTAAAGCCCCTTAACTAAGTGCCAGGCAGGTAGTTAATCACTTTAACTATGAACAATCACACTTAAGCTACATAATCTTTACTTAGGATAATCTCCTTCAGTTACTTCCTTGTAGCTTAACAGAACAATAGAGTAGTGACCTTGGACTGGAGATAACAAACGCCCTAACCTTTGGAATAGAATGGATAGGATTAAAATCAACTGGTATAAATACAGATGTAACAGAGTGTGACTTGGAGACGCTTTGGAGACGGTGGCTCCAGCTCCACAGCTGCGGTGCGATCTGCAGGAGTCCCCGGTGGGCCCTGCCATGCCGACCCAGGAGGAGGACTACGACGTGCTGCACACCATTGGCATTGGCTCCTATGGCCGCTGCCAGAAGATCCGGAGGAAGAGCGACGGCAAGATATTAGTTTGGAAAGAACTTGACTATGGCTCCATGACAGAAGCTGAGAAACAAATGCTTGTTTCTGAAGTGAATTTGCTTCGTGAACTGAAGCATCCAAACATCGTCCGTTACTATGATCGCATTATTGACCGAACCAACACAACGCTGTACATTGTAATGGAATATTGCGAAGGAGGGGACCTGGCTAGTATAATTACAAAGGGAACCAAGGAAAGACAATACTTGGAGGAAGAGTTTGTTCTTCGAGTGATGGCTCAGTTGACTCTGGCCCTAAAGGAATGTCACAGACGAAGTGATGGTGGTCATACAGTGCTCCATGGGGATCTGAAACCAGCCAATGTTTTCCTGGATGGCAAGCAAAACGTTAAGCTTAGAAACTTCGGGCTAGCTAGAATATTAAACCACGATGCCAGTTTTGCAAAAACATTTGTTGGCACTCCTTATTACATGTCTCCCGAGCAGATGAGTCGCATGTCCTACAATGAGAAATCGGATATCTGGTCACTGGGCTGTTTGATATATGAGTTGTGTGCATTAATGCCTCCATTTACAGCTTTCAACCAGAAAGAATTAGCTGGGAAGATCCGAGAAGGCAAATTCAGGCGAATTCCATATCATTACTCTGATGAGTTGAATGACATCATTACAAGGATGTTAAATTTAAAGGATTACCATCGACCTTCTGTTGAAGAAATTCTGGAGAGCCCTTTGATAGCAGACTTGGTTGCAGAAGAGCAGAGGAGAAATCCTGAGAGAAGGGGGCGACGATCTGGAGAACCAGAAAAGTTGCAGGATTCTAACACTGTATTAAGTGAGCTGAAACTGAAGGAAATACAGTTGCAGGAGCGAGAGCGAGCCCTCAAAGCCAGAGAGGAAAGACTGGAGCAGAAGGAACGTGAGCTTTGTGTTCGTGAGAGACTGGCGGAGGACAAATTGGCGAGAGCGGAAAGTCTGATGAAGAACTACAGCCTGCTGAAGGAGCAGAGGCTCCTGTCCCTGGCCAGTGGTCCAGAACTTTTAGCTCTTCCATCCTCAATACTTAAGAAGAAAGTTCATTTCAGTGGAGAGAGTAAGGAGAGTGTCCGGGGGAGTGAGAACTCTGAGAGCCAGCTCTCCTCCAAAGCCAAGTGCAAAGACCTGAAGAAGAGGCTCCATGCTGCCCAGCTGCGCGCGCAAGCCCTGGCGGACATTGAGCAAACGTACCAGCTGAAAAGCAGACAGATCCTGGGCATGCGCTAGCCGGCAGGGCCCAGCGCTGTGTGCGGGATCTGACATGGCCAGCCCCCGAAGGACTGATTGATGTTCAACTGCTGCAGCTTGATATACTTGGTTCCATGAGCCGTGCCTTTCTGTACAGTAAGAGTGATATTTTGGAATTGCCTTTGCTGTCCTTCAGCAATAATTGAACAAAACGTCCACACCTTTCATTTTTTTTCTTTTTTAAAAGAACACTTTATAGAAAGAATGATACTTTCTTGGTTGGGGTTTTAATCCCATGTGTGATTACTACTGGAACATTACATTCTAAATGTTGGAGGAAAATAATATCAGGAAAAACATATGTATCCACTTACTGAGACATTTTACACGACTGAGTGGTGTGCTTACAGTTGTCATGTCTAGATTTACAACTTCAAGTTTGAGGTTTTAAATATTCTAGAGCTTAGAAAACCGAATTGGATCCAAACTGGTCACTGATATTATGACATCTTGCTTATAGATAACACTTATTGATATCCCATTGCTCTTAGTGCAAAATCTGTCACCTTTTGTGAAAATCCATCACTGTGATGTCGATTGTACGTAGAGCTCGGGAAGTATGTCTCAGCGCTGCGGCTGATGCAATGGTGTGAGCACACTCCACCATGACATGCTTCCTCGGCACACCAGGAAGTAGCAACGCCCGCCTGAATGAACTCCTAGAGCCACGTGCACAGTACCCCAGCCTTTCAGCCATTGGTCGCCTGTAGCAACGTGTCTCCCTCTGATTGGTCCCCTCATGCTATATATACCCTGTAGTTCCACAATAAAACGGATCTGCGTCACTGAACCTGGTCTCCGGAGTCGTGCATGCAGACGCCCTAGCGCGTTGGGGCTCCGTCGTCCTCACCCCCGAGGGACCCCCTGCTTCAGTCGATATTTTTTTTCCCTTTTTATTCTACCTAACTATATAAGCCGGCCATCATGGGCTCATCTGTTTCTCACTAAGTAAACGAATTCTTTCGATTTCCTGTAAAAAAAAAAAAAATACAGATGTAACAGGAGAATAAAGACAGAACCTGGCTGGAGAACCTAGCTAGAGAACCTGGCTGGAGAACCTGACTAGAGAACCTGGCTAGGCTGCTGATCAACTGAACACTGTCTCCGTGTCATTTCTTCTTCGCCGACTCCGTCCACACCTTTGGGAACCCCTGGACCTGCTGGGGTTGGACCCTAATAATTATGTTGATATATGTTCCCTCTATTCCCACTTTTGCTGAGAGTTTTTATCATAAATGGGTGCTGGATTTTGTCAAATGCCTTTTCTGTATCTATTGAAATAATCATGTGATTTTTATTTATTTATTTTTTATTATTTATTTATTATTTTATTATTTATTATTTTTTCTATTGATTTTTAGAGAGAGAGGAAGGGAGAGGTATAGAGAGGTAGAAACATGCTGAGAGAAAACATCATCGATCAGCTGCCTCCTGCATGCCAACCACTGGGGATTGAGCCTGCAACCTGAGGATGAGCTCTGACTGGGAATTGAACCGTGACCTCTTGGTTCCTGGGTCAACACTCAACTACTGAGCCACACCAGCCAGGCTAAGCATATGATTTTTAACTTTCATTTTGTTTATGTGGTGTATCGTGTTAATTGATTTGTGGATATTGAACCAACACTGCATCCCAGGAGTAAATCCCACTTGATCAGGGTGCATGATCCTTTTAATGTATTGCTGAATTCAGCTTGCTAATATTTGTTGAGGATTTTTGCATTTATGTTCATCTAGAACAGGGGTCCTCAAACTTTTTAAACAGGGGGCCAGTTCACTGTCCCTCAGACTGTTGGAGGGCCAGACTATAGTTTTAAAAAAAACTATGAACAAATTCCTATGCACACTGCACATATCTTATTTTGAAGTAAAAAAACAAAATGGGAACAAATACAATATTTTTATTTGCATGTGGCCCGCGGGCAGTAGTTTGAAAACCCCTGATCTAGAATATTAGCCTATGTATATTTTTTGTAATATTTTTGTCAGGTTTTGGAATGAGGATAATGCTGGCCTTATAAAATGAGCTTGGGACCTCTCTCCTCTTGAATGTTTTGGAATTGTTTGAGAAAGATAGCTATTAATTCTTCTTTGAATGTTTGGTAAAATCTGCCTGTTAAGCCATTTGTTCCAGGACTTTGGTTTGTTACAAGTTTTTTTGTTTTGTTTTGTTTTGTTTTGTTTTATTACCGTCTATTTTGTTTGTAGCAATGTCTCTGTTCAGATTTTTTGTTTCTTCTTGATTTAGTCTTTGAAGATGTGTTGGTTCTGGGGCCTTTGCAGGGACTCTTGTGCAGATCAATGTCTGATGCTGCCTGAGACCAGCCCCAGGTTACCTATTCAGGCGACAAAGAGATTCATGGTTGGGAGCTTCCTCTGCTGAACTTGGTTGAGCATGGGAGGGAGCAAGCTGTGAACCAAGGTTGGCTGCCACCAGTACTGGGCCTGAGGCAGGTTAGCAAAAACCCCAAGGCACCCCAAGACCTGCCACTGTCTGTTGGCTGCCTGTTAGGCTCGGCCACTAAAAAAGCCTTGGGCATTATGCGAATTACGTGAGACAGGTTCTCAGGGACTAACCAGTTAGGAGTGAGTGGTGTTCATACAGTTTCAAACTCAGCTCCAGTGCTGGTCTGAGGTCACTCAGCAAAAGTTTTAGGGTACACTGAGGCCAGCCACCACCTTCCGGGGCCTGCAGAATGTTTCAGTGGGGCAAGGGGTCTCAGGGATTTGTCAGTGTGGAGCTAGTTGAGTTCACCTGGCTGAAGCAGATTTAAGATTTGTCTGTGTGTAGGAAGGGCTTGACACAGGAAATGCGGAGCCTGTCAGCTGTGGGGGAAGACGGCCTTGCCCTGGAGCCAGACAACTCAGTTTCTCCCTGTGTGTCTCGGGCACCCCTCCAGCTTGACAGGAATTCCTTGAGAGTTTTTTAAGAAAGACTACAAAGCAGGCTCAGGCTGGGTGCTGGGGACAGAGTCTCTGGCCCCGCCAGAGTTGGTTTGGGCAGGGCCTGGGAGCTGACAGGTGGAGCCAGTGGACCTCACTAGGCTTCTGCTGCTTTGGGGGGCGTGCTTAACCCAGGAAAGATGGAGTCCATGGCATGACTCAACACAGGGGTACTGGAGACTTTTCCTCCATCCCTTGCTCCAAAGCCACACAACTCAGCCTCTCCCTGAATTACTGAGTGGCCATCCGTCTGCTGGAGTCCAGGGTGAGTGCCTGCAAGTGAGATTGTGTGCTGTCCCCTACAGTGGTTCTCAACCTTCCTAATGCCGTGATCCTTTAATACAATTCCTCATGTTGTGGTGACCCCCAACCATAAAATTATTTTCGTTGCTACTTCATAACTGTAATTTTGCTACTGTTATGAATCGTAATGTAAATATCTGATATGGTATATGTATTTTCCGAAGGTCGCGACCCACAGGTTGAGAACCGCGGATGCCTGGGTTTCCAGCAGCCTTCTGTCTCCCAGGGGAGGCAGAGGAATCACAACCAAATGTTATGTGGGCTCCTCTTCCTGACATTGGTGCTCCAGGCTGGGGGGCCCCGCCTCCTACCAGTCTCAATATGGCTTCTTCTGCAAATTCTGACTATAGGACTTCTGTTCAACTACTCTCCAGGTGGTTATCTAGGTTGATTGTTCTGTAATTTAGTTGTAATATTGATGTCGTCCTAGGAGGAGGTGCATGCAGCTATCACCTACTCCGCCATCTTGGACCTTCCTGGAGAATATATACAGATATTATTTTCTATTCTCATATTTAAATGATAGTTTTGTTGGGGATATAATTTTAGGTTGTAAATTATTTTCCTTCAGAAATTTGAAAGCCTTCCTGCATTGCTTTGGAGCTTCCAATGCTCCTGGTCAGAAGTTAAAATTTAATCTATGTCCAAGGATGATGAGACCACCACACAATATCTAAAATTAAAGGACAAAGATGAATTTACTACTTGTTGTAGTAAGGGAGAGCTATGTTATTTAGGCTCAGTCTCTCCAAGCAGAGCAGACTGCTGAACTTGGGGAAGCATGGAGTTCAGGGACTGGTGGACTTTCAGAGGCTTTATTGCCATCATCAGTAGAATCATAGTTCCTTTGGAGTAAGTCTGCCCCTGACTGGTCAGTGTTCAGAAGCGAATGACTGATGCTGATTGGTTCATTGAGGGGAGTTGACTTTGATAGACTAAATAAGTTCAAAACCAACTTTTGATGGCTATTTATTATCATGACTTCAAAACAATTGTCTTCATCTAAGTTTGGAGGAGCAATTTTTTACTCACTACTTGCTGATCCTTTGTATGTGACCTGGATATTTTTTTCCTTTTTACAGTCTTGAAGGTTTTTCTCTTTGCCTTCATTGTTTGAAATTTCACAGTGTTGTTGCATTTGCCTGAGTCTGTTTTCACTGGGTAAATGTTTCAGTCTAGAAACTCAGATTATTAACTTTCTCCTCCTCTCCATTTTCTTTCCTTCCTTCCTTCCTTCCTTCCTTCCTTCCTTCCTTCCTTCCTTCCTTCCTTCCTTCCTTCCTTCTTTCCTTCCTTATTTTTTATTACTTTGCTTTTTTTTCTTTCCTTTTTGTGAGTGCAGTCAGTTTATTTGGGAGGTGATCCAAGAAAACACCAGTAGGGGAGTAGAGAATTGAGACAGGAATAAAGGAAGCCAATAGAAGTTCATTATCAAGCAAGTCAATATTTTGGACTATTAAGTACAATCCTGCCTGGGGAGTTCTGGGAGCAAGGGAAGAATATGCACTGCAGTTATCTCACGTGGGCTGTAAGGGAACTAGAATACTTCTGTCAGTAATTGACAGTTAGCATCTGCCAATCATCCATTGAAGACTGTTTCCACAAAGACAAGGAAAGTCAGCACTCAACACACGACAGGTAGATCAGGCCCTGGTGGCCACAGAAAACCCTCTACAAAGAGATTTATTGCTGGCACTTGGGAGGATGGGCTGGTGTGCAATAAAATGGTAGTCATGGCCAAAGAGATTTATGTAGTGCACTACATTTTTCTATTTTTAAAAAAATGCTAATCTTCCTTGATCAGTTTCCTAATTATCTTAGTTTTTATATCCTATTTTCCATCTCTTTTTCTTTTGGCTGGTAAAACTTCTCAACTTTATATTTCAACCTTTCTATTGAAAATTGCCATTTCTGCTATTGTTTTAATTTCCAACACCTTCTTTATGTTTTGGTTATGTTCCATTTATCTACTTGCTTGTTAATTTATATTGGGGTAGAATTCTGTTCTTGTTTCATGGTCACAGTAGCTTTTCTTTGTGAGATATTTGGCGTTTATTTTACCTGTATTTCTTCAACATTAT